GGTGTACACCTATTTAGAGAATTTTGAGTCAGAGGGTAATATTAATGCCTAACTGTTATAGAACACTCTGTCGGGACCTGTGTGTCAAACTACATCTTTCTCACTGGATTTTCAAAAACCCTTAGAAGGGGACGGAGGGGGAGCGAGTTTAGGATGAGAGCTCAGCCCTCCTCCCCCATCTCTTAGAAACGGAGAATCATTAACTTGGGGAGTCTTCGACGTTGCACCTCAGACTAAGCGGACACTGGGTGTTTGCTCTCAGGGTGGCCAGGTGGGCCGCCCAGCTTCTTGCGTTGCTGACCTTAGAGTCAGCCTCAGTTTCCTCCTCCCCCCAAATAGGGTGAAACCCCAGTGGCCGGGCAAAAATTCAAATTTTCGGCTATGCCAAGTGTTGACAAGGAGCTGATGGAAGTGTCAATGGACAAGTGAGATTGGAGAAGCCCCTCAGACCTTTGACAGGGCAAGTTCATGGCCTCGCACATCCCTCAGAGACGTGGCTTGCAAACGCTTTTGCTCACCTCAGGACATTGTGCACCTGAAAGAGTTACCCAGGGTAAGCGAGCCTTCCCCCGACTGTGCGCATGCGTTCTAATATCTCTCATTCTATTTAATTCCATTTCATTAAAGGGAAAATTGTTTGCAGCCCACTAAATTGATTTCACAAGCCGCTAATGGATCTTGTAGGGCAGGTTGAAAAATATTGAACTAAGAAACTCGAAGAGACATGTTCCAGGACGCTAACGGCAGCCTTCTGGGAAAGGGAGAAAACTGGAAACAGGGCAGGTGCCCTCGCCAGGAGAAAGGATGAATATGCTCTCACAAAGGACTCCCACACAGCCTTTCAGATGAATGAATGGACACACATATCAATACCATGAGTTGTGACAACATCATGATGAGTGAGTGTGCTGGGTTGAATAGCGCCCCACCCCCACCCATTCATGTCCTCTGGAGCCTGTGAATGTGACCTTATTTCAAAATAGAGTTTTTGCAGGTGTCACCAAGTTTGGATGAGGTCATATTGAATTAGGGTGGACCCCAAACCCAGTAGGACTGGACATTTGGGCACAGGCCCAGGTACGCTCACAAGGGGAAGCCACGTGATGACGAAGGCAGAGACCGGAGCGATGCGTGTATATAA